CTCATAATTTTCAGGGGTACGAGCATTCCTCACTCAAATGATCAAGTCTCTGATTCACTTCGTTGGGAACAAAAGGCTGATTTGTTTTCACATTTTCTTTGGCTCGTCTAAAAGCTCTCACTTTCCTTTGTTATTCATCGGAATGCAACACATTCAACTTGCCAATCCAACTCTTGCGTCCGATTATCTTCTGGCGGCTAGTGAAATTTGTCCGTTCGATCCGCTCGTATTACATGAACGTGGTGTAGTTTGCTATTACCAAGAACAGTACGCATATTCCTTGGTTCGTCTTGATGCATGTGTTTGAGGCTGATGTTATTAAATCGGAAACTAAAGGTGGCAGGAGGGCGCAGAATTATTTGAATCTACCATCAAAGCTTCACAGAATAGTCAGACGGATCCTAAAATCTGGGCACCTACTTATTTGAACTTATCACATTGTTATAGACGATTAAAGTTTGTTTTTTCCCCCTTTCTTTCCGTTTCAATGAGCATTGTGTCTTCATATATCTTACGTGGCTTGGATTACCAACAGACGATACCCTGAAGCACTAGAGGCAGCAAAACAGGCTAAATACTTGCAGCCTCGATCGGCGGCTGCGTTGACTGCTACTGGAATGGCATTTCATGCCTTGGGAAACAATTCGGATGCTATCAGGATGTATCACGAGGTACGACCGAAAAATCTTTGTTTCTCTCAAAGAAGCCAGATGATGATCATAAGCTCAAACTATGTGTCTCTTTGTTCTGTTCAGTCACTTGCAGTACTACCTGCTGATCCAATGACGACCTCATTACTAAAGTTTTCATTAGATATGGAATGTTGTTATCCGATTTTACAAACGAATAGACCCTCAACTTCACCACCTGTTTCACCACCGTTTATGTTTAAAGGATTATCGAGAGAAGGATATGAACAGTTTAAAGAAGATTTAGAAGGATATGAAGAGAAGTTAAAGACTCAGTATGGTAAAGAATGTACTTCTTCTACTCTCTTTGGTTATGCGCCTGAGAAGGAGGCAGGAACCAGTGGGGTTGGGATTGGGGTTGGAGGATCTGAAGAAGATGGGGATCGGATGGAAGAATAAAGTGTGGGTTTTTACATTGTTCTCTTTGGTTTGGGAAATACAAATCGAGTGATTTGAGGTTTGGGAGTACAAAAGATACGGAGGTGTAAATTTGTGTATTTGATATAATCCTTGACTTTGGGTTTGAGAGGAAATGAGTGTGAAGGATATCTTTGTGGGTGCTAGAGATTTGAGTTAAAAGAAATATGTGGTCTGGAAATATGTGTTGGTTTTAACGCGTTGAAGGTTTATGTGTCTGATTCTGATGAAACTTGGCAGTTTATTATTGTCATGAAGATCAGAGCAAGAACATCATAAGATGTACAACTGCAATTTTAAGTATGTGATCAATTTGTGTGATGAGGATTATTTATTTGATTTACAAGAATCAACTATTCATGACACTTGGTACTACTTGGTGAGCGTATACTATTAACTTATGGGAGTCTGGGTAAATGGATTTGGGGTCTTTTGTTACATTCGGTTTCTAGCACAGTTGGTTTTGGTATGTTTATGTTTCACCAAAAATGTACATTTACTGATTTTTCATAGCTCTGGCGATGGCGATGAAGCTTGTGACTCGTAAGCCACAACCTCATCTCACCCTTTATCCACCACCCGTATCAAGATATCAATGCGCGGGTTTGTTCTTGCTGTATGTACAGTGTAAGGGGTTGGAATGAAAAGATGAGTTTCTTGATGAGCTAGCCAATCTGATCTTCGTATGGATCTTGGATCATAAATTAAAATGACTCATGTCAAAAGCCTGCGCTGGCTCATCTTCTTCACTTTTTAATGGTGTTGCGCCATAAATTTATAGCCAATTTGAAGTAGTCTTGCGGGCAAATTGCGGCACAAGTTGTGGAATTGATGTGTACATAGTTAAACACGAACTTGACCTTCTGAGACTCGAGAGCAGAAATGGCGCGATATAATATTCCTGCATAGCAACAGAAGTTGATATTTGCATATACACAATAGCCAATTCAAAAAAAAACTTGTTCCGAATAGTCCACCTACATATCCGGTCGAGTTTTCTTATGATTTGTGGCTAAACTTCAGCCTTGAGATAGATTAAGGGGGGGATGTCTTGACTCTCTGTGAGTCTTCGAAATATAATGGACACAATTATTAGTGTCATCACATTCACGGAGGTGTTGAAATTCAATTACTCTCAATCAACGTGGGGGTGGGGTCCAGAGGTTCAAGTCATATAGATTTTTTTCAGACAGGTTCTGAGGGCCAGGCTGTGCGAGGTGGACTATGCCTTGTGATCGAATGCGTTCGCTGCGAGAGATTCTTGGAATGATGGGCTATATTTTTCGATTGGACCTACGTGACCTCAATAACATGCTCCTAATAGTCATGAAAGGAATTGCTCTGATCTCGGGTTTCCTTAAGAATTAGAAAGAAACAAAATAATTAGGTAGATTGGAAAAAAACCCCTTTATGAATGTTCTGGGTGCATACCAGGATCATCGGCCAGAGATTGGACAGGGTCATTTTTTACATGATTGCGAGGAAACCTTTTGCGAAAAAAAAAGTTTATCCGACAGAAACTGGTGAACCCATCCTTTGACAAGAATATTTTTACCGTATGGAAAATGTAGTAGCCATGCGAGGGCGAGGGAAGACTGGTATCGCGGTAAGTCAAGAAGCCTGAGATATGGGGATCCCGGATCTGCGCTCTCTTCTCATTCCTCTATGTAGCGCGATGACTATCATCTCGATGGGATCGCTCCTACGGGCGCAATGTGATGCATAGGATCGAGCACTTTGCCTACTACATATGTATTTGTGAAGTAGACAAGTAAGGAGGTTTCTAGGCGTCAAAAGACGTGATTCATGAAGGGCGATAAATTGAGAAATTCTTCAATGAGGCTGATTTCTGCCGTCTTTTCGAGTGGCTCTTTTACCTATAGATCAGGCAGCTGTCGTGATGTACACCATTTCAGATTAAGAAACATCAAGTATAGATGTACGAAGACGTATGATAATCAGATGAGTCAGTCTCCGGAATGAGGTCCTATCAAACACCCCTTGCAGGGAAGTTGTTGTATTCCGTGCTTCTGTGCTATCTGCCGTGAAAAATCGGCATGATCAGGAGTAAGGGAACTTGATGATATATAATTGAACACAAGAATGATCCCTTTGACGCAAACCATCAAAATCAACACAGACTTTCGCTTTATCATAATAATAACTTTTAATTTATACACTCTGATATACATTCAAATGAATTCCCTTCACTTTTCTGTCATTCTTTCGTTTTTATTTCTAGTTGCTTTTGAAGCTAGTTCTGTGACCCCTCTTAGATCTCATGATATCTCTTCACGACATCGTCGGAATCGTAGAGCTGCCGTTTTACCATACGCACCTAATGGTTTAGATGCCGCTGTTTATCATTCAACACTTCAATCAAGTTGCAAATCACCTTCTTACTCAAAGGTGATCACCGTTACTCAACCAATCAAAGTTGCAGCTAGACAAACCTTTGATTGTAAATTAGTCAAATATCAACGTGCTGATCGAAGTTGTAACTTGAATGTCGAAAGAGGTGGTGATCAAGCTGTTTTCCTTCTTGAAGAAGGAGCTACATTGAAAAATTGTATTCTGGGTTATTCTCAAGAGAGTAAGTTGATTTGAACTTCTTTGAGTATGATAATCAGATTTTTTTCTAATCGTGATGATTTCTATGCATTTTCTAGGTGTCTATTGTCTTGGTACATGTCGAGTCGAGAATTGTCATTGGTTGGAAATTTGTGATGAAGCAGTAAGCTTTTATATGCGAAGCGGACAAGCAACAGTTAGCGGTTGCTCATTTTCAAACGCAGGTAACAAGGTACATATTTGTCTTCGATTTCCAATAGGATGCGTCTAATATTTTTACAGAACAGTCCATGTATTAATCCTTTTTTGATTTTCCTCATATCTAGGCTTTACAATTCAATGGGTAATTTGGTTCCAAACTCGAAAAATTGATCTGATCAAAACAAACACATTGATTCTTTGTGGTACCTTTTTGTTCTTCAAACTGATCAGAGGTGGAACGGTGGTTGTCAATAACTCTTGCTTCAGTAACGTTGATATTGCTTATCGGTAAGACTTCAGCTCTTGATCTATTGATCTTTAACGTCCACTGATCATTCCATATTGATATTTAGCTCCTGCGGAAAAAAATGCTCAACATCAAAGAGGGAAGTCATCTTCAACAACATCGTCATCAATGGGGTGAATACTTTGGCGGGATATAATCACAGAGATGGTGATACAGCCCATGTTGTAAGTTACTCTGGGAAGGCTAAGAAATTCATGTGTGAGGTCAAGGATGCAAACACTCCCAAAGGTCACTTGCCACCCGGGTGAGTGAAATATATATTTACTTGAAAAATCTGAATAGAATCTTTAAGACGAGCGCCCTTTACTAATTCTTTGATTGTCAACTAGGTGCACCCTTGCATGATTAGGATACATGTTTCCAAATTTCCTCTAGCTTTTTCAAATTCGATCCTATGATTGTGATGTCGGATTACAATCTCACTTCAAAAAGTTGATCTTTTTTCTATTCTCTATTTAACATCTATTTATGTGCTTTCGACGTACCGCTGGATTGATGACCATGTTCATCTAGGTAGAATCAAATGATATTGATTGTCACTGAAGATTTCAAGTTGTATCTTGTAACCTGATTCTGATTGTTTTAGTAAACTGTTTTGATTATCCGATACTCATATTGAGAATGATTTATGTTATACCCAGTAGCTCAAGTTGAAGTCTGAAAGTAGACTTGAAGGTGATTTCAATGAGAATGCAATTGGATTGGTCCTGTTAAAGGAACACGTTCAATATTCTCAACTCCTAGCTACGTGACTTATATCTAAAGCTTCAGATGGATGATGTTGATTCATTGACTAGGCGATGGTTTGCGTCAAAATGCTCTTGTGCAAAGACAATCCTAAAGCAGTGCTGAGATCAATCTTATATAGGTCCCTCTCGGTACTCGTCGTACGTGAGCTCCACCTTTGTGTTAAGAGGTGTCGAGAAGAGCGATATCAAAGAAACAGATATGACTTTCTAGAATTCAATCCCTATAGCAATATTTTTGACAAGAACAAAAAAAACCTCAAATTCAATTGACTTTGCAACAAGACCTCTCATCACTTCTCCGTGCGGGAAAGAGGCACAATAGGGGTTGGGCGACGCGCTGCAATTTTTCAATTCATCTTTCAGCGACAGAGGATTCCGCCACTCGAATACCATCGAAGTCGCCCGAATACTTTGGGCCAGAGATATCACAGATTTTCCCCGAGTCCAGCTGCCCCGATCCATCCCAATTTTTTAAATACTCGGGCCCCGTCCAGAGTTGAATGACCGAGGCAACACGATCAGGCTATGCTCCACAGTCCAGCACACTCAAATTGAAGTGATCCTTCGTCGACTACATAGTAAGCAACTGAGTCTTTCTTTCACTCAATCAATTAATTCACTGATGTTTGCATATTCATATTCCTGTAGAATTATATTATCATCTACTCGGTTGGAATTCCAGAAGCTCTCTGTGCAAATGTTTTAATCGATATACCAAATGTAGGAAGGAAATGGGGAATGGTCCTTTCAGCTTTTGGAATGGGAATTTCATTATGTTTATGTGCAATTGTAGATGATTTAACTACTGAAGTGGCTATGAACGCATCGGAATATTTTTGTGAGTTTTTCTCTTTTCATTATCTCCGAAAAGACTTCAAGATCATTTGATTGATTTCTTTTGCTTTGAAATCTTCAATTCAAACTTTATTGAATGCTATCCTTTATGCTTTTACACCCGAAGCATTTCCAGGCCCAAGTAAATAATTATTTCTATCTTGATTGTTTCATCATCCAAACTGATTGTTTTTTGTTCGCTTTAATAGTCCAAGGATCAGCATGTGGATTAACTTCAACTTCAGGAAGATTATCATCAATCATTGCACCAATTGCAGTCAGTTCAGTCATAGATAGATCAACTAATACTGTACTTTATTCAGCTGGTGGTGGTGCTATTGTGGCTGGTTTAGCTTTACCTGGTTTCCCTTTGGAAACAAGAGGTAGATCTGTTTTTGAATTTTCTGTTCTTTTTTTTGAAATTTTGGGGTCGAGGGAGCGGATATACTTGTATGCTTTAATCATTTTCTTGGTGGCAGGGTGATGTGGGTGGACGAAGCTCAAAAAACGGGATTTGTTTGGTTGTGGATGTGAATATTTAGTAAGTGTTTATTACGTATTCTTTTTAAGAGGTTGCAATTGGGATGGTTTTTTTTTGGATTGGTTTGAATCATGTATCATTAATGACTTTTTTGAAAGATATAATCTTTGGTTATATATAATCTTTATTTAGATATTTTCTCTTTTGCATTGTCAAGAGAGAATAAACTTTTTGAAATTTGGGAAAATTGAGAGTCTGGATGATTTCTTTTGGAGTCTCCAAGAGTGGGTGAACTCCGACCTCATGATGATTGAGATCAAAGTTCAAAAGACAAGATAAGAGATACATATATGAATCTGGGTTAAAGTGAGATGACTTGATTTACATGTTTATTTTGACTATTTACAACCTGATACAAAGATTTCCATACGCAAAATTCCATAAAGAAAAGCTTGAATAAAATGTGCACAGAAGAAAAAAGAAAGTGGACTTCTCAAGAAAAGAACCAAGTTAAAAACTCGATAAGATCATAGTGATTGAAACCAAACCTAAAAGAAAGTGATAAATGAATGTTTTAATAAAAAGGTTTCTAGAATTGATGGTTTTGTATTCAGAAAAACAATTACTTACTTTGCGAGGCACTAGAAGTGCCATCATATTTTTCAGTTCCATTCTTCTTGAAATGAGTTGGATTTGATTTATCTTTGATTGTTGTATCATCACTTGTATCTGATAAAGTACCTAATAAAAAAACCAAAAAAAAATATAAGGATTATAAGAAAAAGTCTTTCATAAAGGAATGATCAACTATTAGTGGTTGAAGAGTCTTCTTTATCAGTATCAGTATCGGTATCAGAGTTGGTGGAAGTAGAAGGTTCTAAGAAGCAAAGCAATGATTTTCAGTTTGTAAACAATTCGAAATGTGAATAGTAAAGTTTTTCTGACTCACCAGATTTTGAATCTGATGGTTTCTTTTTGGATAAAGCTTCGTTCTTTGTACTTCCAGACTTGTTGGTCTTGTATCTGAGCTTTCAGTAGTCGAATTCTTTTCAGGTGTAGAAGTCATAGTAGAAACAGATGGTACTGGTGTCACAGGTGTAGGAACATCAAACATCAGGAACGTCTTCATCGGGCTCCCCCGCGGAAGCCACCACGGGAACCACCGGGGCCACAGTTCCATCTGTGAAAGGTGGATCACGCTAAACATCTAGCGTACTACCAGGGGCTCAATGGCTGGCGAGTGGTAGGATTATGTGAACAGCCAAACCA